AATGTACTATAAAAGAGTCCCTGCCCCAAGCACCTTACAAGCTAAATAGGGTTGAGACTTGACAGCAGGGGAACGTAGGACCCCTAACAAAGGAGTAGGGGGGCCAAAAGAGTGACAGTCATGAGTCCACAGGGTTGCAAATATTAGCAAGTGTATAATATGGAAGTAACTTAATTTGGTTTGTTTGTTCATAAAGGAGTAAACTGAGCGAACAAAAAATTTTAATTAATAACTAACAGGCTACCCAACTAGCCATTCAAGCATGAGTCAAAGCAGTCATGCTATTAGAGCAGGGGTAGGCAACCTATGGCACGCATGCTGAAGGCAGCACGCGAGCTGATTTTCAGTGGCATTCACACTGCCCGGGTCCTGGCCACCGGTCTGGGGGGCTCTGCATTTTAATTTAATTAAGAAACTTCATTTAAAAACACTTTAAAAACCTTATTTACTTTACATATAACAATAGTTTAGTTATATATTATAGGCTTAAAGAAAGAAACCTTCTAAAAACGTTAAAATGTGTTCATGGCACGCGAAACCTTAAATCAGAGTGAATAAATGAAGACTCAGCACACCACTTCTGAAAGGTTGCTGACCCCTGTATTAGAGCATAGTATTGCTGAGTAATCAAGGTGGCCATAACTTGGTGTTTTAATTGTGTTGTATTAAAAACTGATGCTTTCTATGGGCCTGATAGAAGTAGAGTGACTGAGCAGCATTGGGTCCACAGATGCTAAATGTGAGCAATGAAAGACAAAACATATGTGTATTATCAGAAGTTAGTGTGTCACAGGAAATGGACACAATTCATCCCCCTGGTGCAAGGGGCTGGAAATTACTATGCCCAATGGGGATTCACACACTGCAGGGACATGATGAGTCTTTTCAGTAAACTGAACCGATTAAAAAGCTCAGATCGGAACACTTGAATAGTTTCAGAAAGGATTGTATCACCATCTTGTGGCAATATCAAATGTTACTGGCAATATGCTGCAGTATCTAATGGCTTGTTCTACCTTTGATATGACACAGTGTGCTTCAGGAAACATGTTCTGCTTTCTCTGAATGAAGTTCCATGGCCTGTCTTCATGCTAATGAAAAGCAGAAATGGTAGCAAACAACAAAACATCCATCTTCTCCATACCTGTTGGCCAGTTATTTGGCATTTTCCCAAGATCTATTACACTCAGTCTCCTCTTTTTTATACAGTGTTTTGGTTAATAAAATCCATGCATTGATGCTGGCGTAGTGCTCTACTAGGAGTGCTCTATACAGCCATGCTGGAGCCCTAACTTGATTTCCACTCCTGCGGCTCCCTTTCTAAGCGAAAAGAGATTGTGAATAGTGTAAAGGCCACGCACTCCACCTCTGAGAGACAAGAATGCCTTGAATCATTAATAACCACAACCTTGATGGGCTCCCACACTGAAGCCAGTCCCATTCAGTGAGTTTCAGCTGGAAAAATGAAGGCTGTGATGCAGGAGCCAAATGTTAGACCCAGCTCTTTTGTACAACTGCACCTGCAATAACCCTGAAAAATTAGCCAGAAATAGTTAAATAATAACCAAAAAATCCACCATGTGCACTCAAATGACATAGTTTGGAAAGGGCAGGAGAATACAGTTCTTTGGACTGAATGTTGTTTTAATGTATTTTGTTAGCAACTGACTATAATGCTGATGAGCAGGGACTACATGGGTAACAACCATGAAAGATAAAGATAGGATAGAACCAGTCTCAGTTGGGATCCCTGACTGCTTCTGTAATAAAATAATAAGAATGCAAGGAACATTTGCATAGGGATTTTACTCTGATTTCGTGAGTGATGCTGAATTTTGTTATACTGATCCAGGACTTACCAGTGCAGAATAGACAATGAGGAGAGAGGAGCTGGCTGCCAGACAATACTCCATATATAGTCTCCAGGCCAAGTTCAAGCCAGTTCTTACTTTACCTAAACTCTTTCACCCAGTGTCCAAATTCACCTTATCTTAATTTCTGGATCTCCTTCCTCATGTTCTAAAGCCCAGACACAGGGATACTGCACTCCAGCCTCTCTCTCCTGGCCTCAGAGGGGCTTAGTGCTAGTGCTCCTCCTTCCCCCAGCAGCAGTTTCAATATTTTGAAAATCACAAGGAAGGAGAAATCCTTTATAACAGGGGTCGGCAACCTTTCAGAAGTGGTGTGCCGAGTCTTCATTTATTCACTCTAAGGTTTCGCGTGCCAGTAATACATTTTAACGTTTTTAGAAGGTCTCTTTCTATAAGTCTATAATATATAGCTAAACTATCGTTGTATGTAAAGTAAATAAGGTTTTTAAAATGTTTAAGAAGCTTCATTTAAAATTAAATTAAAATGCAGAGCCTCCCCGGACCGGTGGCCAGGACCCGGGCAGTGTGAGTGCCACTGAAAATCAGCTCGCGTAGGTTGCCTACCCCTGCTTTATAAGTTCTTCACAATGCTCTTTTCTTCCTTGTGAAATGCAGGTGGATTTTTTGGCCTAACAATTTTGAAACCCCAAAAGTTGCTGCAAAATGGAATTATCCTCTGTTCAGCACCAATTTCATTAGTGCCAGAAAATGCTACGCTTATATTTACTTCCAAGGGGTACTGATGGGTACTGTCTGTCAGATGAAAGGTGGCAAGGAGCAATGATAGTAGAGACACATAGTTGGGGCAAAACCAGGTTTAAAATATTTTCTTAATGATGAGTTAAACTCTGGAGTCAAACTTAAGTGGTTTTGTTTAAAATTAGTCCAGGCTATACAGTGTAGGTGGGTACAATCATAAAACCAATAGAGGAGAATATGACATTTTTGCTCTAAAGAAATGTGATAATAGAAGTATTTAAAACCCCTGTGAAAAGACAGACAAAAAAACCAGCCACCAACATTTTTTAAAACTGAACAATATAATTTTATAAGACAAACTGCTGAGGAATATCAGTTTTGTCCATTATTTAATTAAAACATACAGTAAGAACAAAATAATGCAAATGTAGGTTTGTACTCATTTCCAGAAAATAGATTCATTTTGACAAACCACGTATTAAGCAGAAATAAATCCTGCAACACACTGATTACTTCAGAACAAGTCACCGCAGTCCTATACATTGTACTTTAGCTGTCAACAGCCAATTCATCTGTTCCGTAGCCATGACACTTGATTTACGTGTAACAGCACGCAGATGGTAAGATGCACAAAGCATGTACATAAGATAAAATGTTACAAAAACATTTGTCAAGTAAAATACATATGCAAGTCATCTCTAATATTTACAACAAAAAGTCTTAAATTACAGGATCATTCAGAAGGCATCTCGTAAATACAAATGCCACAGACAGAGAAAAAGAAAGGCAGTCAATGAAAGGTACTGTATTTGTTATGGCGAAGAACCTTTGGCTCCCAAACTCCAAGTTATGATCATTTAAAAAATAACTAAATGTGGAATATTCGTGTATTCTATCTTCAAACTCCTTCACTGCTTTTCACTGTTAAAAATCAATGTGAAATTCAGCATGGCAAAAGCCACTTGTAAAACAAACTTATTTTGTAGTAAGATCAAAACTCTTAGATGCAGTTACGTTTTGGCATTATCCCAACCCAAAGGAAACACATTCAAGGAAGATTGTTTTAATGCTTTTCAAGCATAAAAGTCTGAGGTTATCTGCTCAATAGGTAATAAGGAAGGCTCTCCCCAGCCTGTGCTTTACCTACATGAGGCACAGCTGTGCTTAATTGTTGCATTAAAACATGAAATAACTTAAAGCAAAGAAAAATGGGATGACATTAATAGCTATTGAATTCTGATTTTTCTATTGATATGCACATGAAAAGCCATTTCATCAGGAGTCAGACAATGACAAGGTTCTTTTCAAGGTAGATTTTGATAAACTACTACCCATCATATTTAATTTGCAACTGTTCTCCCATGAAGACTCTACAATCATGCTGAACTTCTTGGTTAATAGGTGCTTTGATTGTTGGATAATGTAACAATGTTTAACTATGATATCTTCAAAACCCTGTGATGGAGTCTCCCTTTGGCCCATTTTGTGTCATCCTGCCATCAAGTGAGCACATTCTTAGACCACGGATGAATAAATTAGCCAATAAAATGTACATAAACATGCCATATTGATCTCTCTTTTTCCCACCTGGTGCAAGATTAGGCTGCATGGAAAGACACACAGAAGATGATAAATAAACCAGATGCATATGCAATATACTGTACATAAAACCTATCCTGACTAATCTGCATCATGAAATGCTTTGCCTTGCATCTCGTTGAAATGAATGAGGTTCTCCTGAAGAAAGGAACTTGTGCATCCAAAAGCACATTCAAACCTTTGCCTTCATTTCCAAGGCGAAGCACCGCTATGCAAAGAAGAGTCTTTGTAGGTACTCACATGCCAGTAAGTACATTCAGAAATCTAATCTGCTTTCCAGTATTGCCACAGGGACTAGCTTTTTGGAGTGGAATAGGTTTTATCTAAGACAAGTGTGTAACCATGGATGTGCCTCTCAAACTCTTTAGGCTCATGCCAGCATGACATAGAAAGCTGATGGGGTGAAGGAACAGCTGGGTGTACAATGCAGCCCAGGAGTCTTTTCCTGTGTCTAGGGCAAAACTTTCCAAATGTGTGTGGTGAAGCTAGGACTTCAAAAACGTCTGCTTGCCTACTGCATGTGCATCACTTGCACTCGTACAGCAGAACTGGGCAACTGTGCAGACAAATGGCTACTGAGCAATACAACATGGCTACCCATTTTAGTGGGAGCACAAGTTTAGGTGCCTTCATCTGGAAATACAGTCCTTATACTTACACTGAACATTCAGAATTATCTTTAAAAAATCTGAAAGGAGTTGGCTTATATTACACAGACATTAAAAAAATACCCAGCAAGTTGTTTCGCTGGCTTTCCCGCACACTTTTTTTTTTTCCAAATTGGATCTTTGCTTAGAAAAAAAATGCCTGTGAATAATTTGATGAAGCAGTTCTCAAACATTTCAAGTTTTCACTCCACTAATAAATAGGAAAAAAGCACAAGCACTAAGGTTTACCACACACTGGACAATTCAGTTCAACATCAGCAGATCTTCCCAATTATTGATAAGCTACGTACAGAAGGCATTTCAAATGTACTGTTCCCAAAATGCATCACTTAAAGTTAAAACCACTTGTTAGTAAAAGGTCATGTATGTATCCATCGAAAATTGAAGTGTAAGTATTTTTCTAACATCTATTGACAAACATTTATTGGTGTGCATCCTTAGTGAGCTTGTTCATGCTTTGTAGAAGCTACCATGGTTATTAAATTATTTTACACTCCAACTTTTGGACTCTACAAGACTGGCTACAAGTAAAAATAGAAAGAGTAACAACAGCAGAGTTTAAAATAAGGCTTTTTACATTGTCAATAAGATGCCTGCCCATTAACCTATTATTTGTTCTTCACATATTTTTACACATTCATGGCAAAGAAGATTTTGTTCATTTGTCAAAGAACACTCCTGGAACTGCCTTTATTATTAGATAATGCCCCTAATCAGCAGCATAGGAATCTTGTAATGGTAAAATATTTGAAATAAATCCTTTACAAACCAGTGCTGAAACCTATGGAGTCTCTCCTCCATACTTTTTAATAACTCTCATTAGCATTAATGAGAACTACACATGACCACTGGGAAAAATGATCAGTGCTGCCAGTTCCAAGATCCTATTTTCTCATACTGGATTTTTTTTTAAAGGTATTCTTTCAAATCAAACCATATATTACAGATCCTGGCCAGAGCTGACCTTAGCGCAAAAAAAAAAAAAAAAAAAAAAGTCATCCTTCTCCAAGAGAAACTGATGGTTCTCAGTCAAAGCCCATTTCTGATTCCACCACCGTCTTTTGTCCATACTGGTGGCATCTTCTCTTTAACATTTTGAAGTAATAAAAACCCACTGTCACTTGACTGATGTGTAAGAGGCTCAGAATCAAAGACAGCTTCAGGAACTTGACGGAAACTTTTGTTACAGTTCATACACTTTAAATTCCATCCATATACAACTTTCCAGTTAAAGTGTGAATTATATAACCAAAGCTATCTAGTGCCAACAGTCTCTCATGGTTCCTTAACTTTGCATTTTTGTATGTTCACATTATCTTCATTTGATTAAAAAAACACTTTAGTTTTTATACTGAAACACAGGCATACTGGAATTACAGAGAAGAGTGTCACAGGATAAGAGGTATGGGCAAGAAATGAAATGTATATGGAAGTGCATACAAGAATGCAGTATGGTGCCTTGGTTGGAAAGAATCATTTGGTGGGTCCTTCCTCTTTCCAGTCCTTGTATGCAGTAAATACATAAATCCTTGCAGTCTTTTTTGTTCATTTTCCATAATATGGAGTCAAAAAATTTCTCTGTTCTAACCTAGAAGATAAGGCCTTGCGGGACTTCCTATTGCCATTTGGCAAATGTAAAGAAACATTGAAAAAGACAGGAAGTGTTAAGGTCCACTAGTTTCTGCATCCACATCAAGTTAAATCAGGTGGGATTCACTCACCTGATCCTGATGGATGACCCCTGCTCAGTGATCCAAAGGAAGAGAAAAATCTCCTAAAGTCCCTTGCCAATATGCCCTGAGGGAAGAATTCCTTCCTAATCCTAAATTTGGCCATCAATTCACTATTAAGAAAAATGAAATGTTCAAATGACCCTACCATTAATGCAGTGCGACTAAAAAGAGAGATTAGATGCTGCTACTATAGAATAACAGCAATTTGCCTTCGTCACCAAGTGATGTGCTCCTCATTAGCAATGCTTATTGACGCATGTCAACATTTACTTCAGAACCATCTGGATTCTTCATCATAGAACCTCATGAACTTCATTTTCCTTCTAGACAAAGGTGATGTTTTTGGCTCAGGCAGAGCTAGGTCTTTACCTCCAAAAGGGAGAATTAATGGTTTTCCGGCTCAAACATGTTCAACTACGTCCCAAAGGTTCTTCTCAGGAAGACATCTCTCCTTCAGCCAACGTCCTTCCAATGACTTTGGCCCTCTCATTTCTTGAATGGGGTAAGTTTGTTGAAGGTGTGCCAGAAAAGGGATGGCTTTCGTTTGGGTTCTGCCAGGGCAAAGACCTGCTGCTGTGGAATGCTGGTGGGGACAGTGATGTGGCGTTGATGAATAGGATGTAAACTCTGGTGTGGAGGAGGCATGGGACATCCATTATAACTTATACCTGCAGAAGGAAAAAATGAAGAATGTGTGAGACAAATGACAAAGTAATCAACCCAGAGAAAATGCACAGAGCATATGGGTCAAATGCAGCTCTCAATGAAGTCTGAAACTTGCCATCATAGCCAATAGGAGTAGATCAGATCTTATCATATCTGACTTTCCACTTTTCTATTTTGGTCTTAATTTTGATTGGGTAAAAAACAAATAATTGTATGACCTCAAATAACTTTACAGTATTGTCCAGAAAATCAGCAGTAGTTTCACAAAACCAGACAACATATGCAGAAGCATTGTGCTTTTAAGAGGAAAGATGGTTAATGTAGCAGACACTTTGACTTTTTAAGCAATAGCTGGGTAAGATTATGTAAAATGTTCTGACTGGTGAAGAAAAGGTACCTTGGAGGGGAAAATAGTTTTCCAAGGTAATGCTCTCTGACTTTGACATTTGAGTATTGAGATCACAATCTCCTGATCAATTTTTTACAGCCATTGCCCTGAAAATCTGGCCCAATTTGTAACATGCCATTTACTCATATATATTGAGAGATAGATATGTTTACATATTAATATGCACATAAGAATCTCTCAACTGCAGATCAAAATTTTGACATTGATGCATTTGAACAAAGACAAAAGTCATGCCTCTTCCAACCTTCCAGGAAAGCACCCCAACCAACTGCCCACTCAGACCCAGGCTGACTCCCAGCTGCTCAACTCATCAAAAAGTGATCCAAATCTCTCGCACACACACACAAAACCATTTAGAATTTTATTTTGAATACAACAAAATCTCGGTCCAAAGAATATTTTAAATCAACAGTGTTGAATTCTAGAGAGAACTTGGGTGGAAGGGTCTGAACATGGGAATGGAACCAGGGATTCCTGAGTTTCTAATCCCATCTAAACCACTGACACCCTCTGTACCTTTAAGCAAATCACTCAACTTCTCTGTTCAGGTCTTCTTTTAGGTGGGGATAATACTAACTTGCCTGTCTGAAGGTGTTTGTGAGGATTATTTAGTAAATAGTTTATAAAGGGCTTTGAAGTTGAAATACATGCTAAATAAAATCACTTTAGAAAGTCTAACCCCAAAAGAGATTTGCAAAGGATCAAAGAGAATGACTATATTTGAATATGTAAGCAGAGTCTGAATGAGCTCTCCCTTGACATCTAGTGATGAGCTGTGGAAGAGGACTTCAGGAGCCGATCTCGTTTGCATGGGCACACCCACCTGGCCTAGGTGCTTAGCATGATGAGATTGCTTGCCCAAATGGTCACTTTTGGCGGTGTGGGATCCCCAGTCTCCTTGTTATTGGGGCAGGAGTAATAAAGGGTTGTTATCCTTATGTGAATCAAGGGCAGGAGAACTGAACTTGGCATTTCCCAATCGTGGGACTCACCCTCAACTAAACAGTACTCGCTAGGCAGGGGACATGGGTTCCAAAGCCCAGTGAGTTGAGACAGGATGGGAACAGGTACTTATCCCTCATTGGGTACGTCTTCACTACCCGCCGTATCGGCGGGTAGCAATAGATTTATCCGGGATCGATATATCGCGTCTTGTTAAGACGCGATATATCGATCCCCGAACGCGCTCACCGTCGACTCCGGAACTCCACCAGAGCGAGCGGCGGTAGCGCAGTCGACGGGGGAGCCGCAGCCGTCGATCCCGCGCCGTGTGGACCCCAGGTAATTCAATCTTAGATACTTTGACTTCAGCTACGCTATTTGCGTAGCTGAATTTGCATATCTTAGATCAATCCCCCCCCAGTGTAGACCAGCCCATTGTGTGGGCCCTGCCTAACGGTCCCAGACACCATCGGACTCTCCTCTCTCTACGGTGTAATAACAGAGCTAATTTAGACTCAATTGAGAGTCTTGTTACATGCTGCAGGGCTGAAATCACTGATACCTAGGTCTAAGTATTAGACCTGCTTTGGGACAGTGTCTCTGATGTAAGAGACTGCCCAGTGTGCACCAGCAGTGAGGCTCCCCCACTAACAGCTGAAGTCACTGACAGCTGTGTTAAGTGGTGGGCCCTGAAGATAGTAGGGCAGCTGGTGGTGAAGCAGGGTGAGTGGGCAGAAGGGTGGCTGGCAGAGAGGGCCGGCGAATGAGTGCCCGAGCAGTGGCATGAGTAAGGTGCCTCCTTACACCCCCCACCTCCACCCAAGGTGGGAGGTGAACACTGCAGATACATCTCTGAACTCTGGGTCTGCACTGTCCAAGGACAACTGTGAGTGGGGTGCAGAGAAGGGATGAGCACATTAAAGGGACTTTGGGGTTGCTGAACTTAAGAACACTGCCCAACGTACTTGGGGGATGGGTCTTTCGCTCATGGTTTATGTTTATGAGTCCTGTTTGGGATGTTTCCCCAAATTAATGCCGAGTTACCTCCCTCCTTTTATTAAAAAAGTTTTTTGCTACACTCAGACTCTGTGCTTGCAAGAGGGAAAGTATTGCCTCTTAGAGGTGCCCCGGGATTATGTGTAATTGTCCCAGGTCACTGGGACAATTACACATAAAACCAAGCCGGTTTTCCGTTGTATTGTTGAAAAGGAACCCCTCGATACTGAACCCGGCCCTTGTTGCTGCCAACTGTGACTGGCAGAAGGGTTACAAATATCTCCCATCATAAGTTCAATACTGAAAAAATAAATGATATATTTAAAACTTACAATAATACTTAAATACTGTACTCACCTTTAATTTTTCCATGCCTTGATTTTCTCGCATTTTGCATGGCTTGTTTCTTTTGATTTTCTGAGATTTCCATTCCTGGATTTTAAAGTACATTAGGGTCTCAGTATTAAGATATTGTATCTGCTATTTGATAACAGTAAATTAAAAAACATTTGAGCAAACACAATTTTAAAATGATACTTTAGTGATTTTTAAATAATTCTTAATAGTAATGTACCATATGTTTTTGAGAAATACAGGTCCAGATTTTACTGTTTCACCAGTTTAACTCTGGCATTTCATTGGCATAACTGAGATACTAATTTGGCCCTTTGAGCACAAATTGATGCCAACCTGTGCTGAAATAATTATCTCCAGCTGGTGGTCATTGGGGATCTGACTAGCTACTTGTCATTTTACAACTCTCGCAGCTAAATTGGTGATGACAAAGCAAACTAACACCTAGGAAGATTATGTGGATTTATGACACTTTGGGGGCCAATGGATCCACAAACCAGTTATTGGATTGCTAGGAGAGATAAATATGAGGCTTGATTCTCTTCTCACTTACACTGGGGTAAACCTGGGATAACTAAATGAAGTCATTAGAGTTATACTGGTGTAAAGCTGGTAAGAGAAAAGCAAGGTCACAGTATGTATAGACATAATCCTGCTTGTATTCTGTAAAAGAAAACTGAACCCATTTTCCTCAGACCAACACTTGAATTTTTGCTGTTCCTGTGTTTACTGTATTGGTGTTATACATTTTATCTATGTTGATCCAAATTTAATAAAAATATATATTTTAAAAGCTGAAAAGCTCCTCTAAGAATATGAATGAATTTCAAACTACGTCACTGTTAAACTGGCATTTTACAAAATGTAATGTCTTCAGTTTGAACAAACCAGGTGGTGTTTTCTTTTAACGATGAGCTTGTAGCCTTCTTTGGTGTGTGTTATGCATGTCAGTGTATTGAGGGATATTAAATACACTTGTTTACACACTTACATGGTCAGTGTCATGTTACATGATACCATGGTCTAACCTAACAATTTACTGTAATGTACTAGTGTTAAGTGTCTGAGGGATTTCAATGTGGCTGAGAGAGGCTGACTCCCAAAGAGGACAGGCACCTGCTATTAGTGTAGCTAGAGGAATTTTTCCTTACATCTAATGGACTATGTTTTTGGAGTTCAAGTACTGGTGTTCTAGTCCCATCTCACTATGTGTGAGATTCATCTAGTAACTGTGCGTGTTGTTTGCAGCATATGAATGTGTTATATTAGCACAACTAAAAAGGTGTGTGTGGTGCTTCTCGTTCCATTCATATATATACAATGGACTGCAAAGTGCTGCAACCCAAAGCCAGGTGGCCCAACAAAGCAGCCACTTGGATTCCATTCTGCTCTTCATTCACACTTTTCAGTTACTTTGAATTCCCTGCACTTTCTGGCCTGCATTCATGGAGGAGTTACATCCCTCAGGTGACTGTTTTTAATATAATCTGACCATACTCCTTCAGTTACCAGTTATTCCTTTTATTTCATTTGTAATTATTCAATTCTTTTTTCTCTTCCTGGAGACAAAAAAGCAGCCAAAGAAATCAAAAAGTTGCAGCAGCAGGAAGCAGACTGTTTTCTTAGATCTACCATTAGTGGTTTTGGAGAAAGAGCTGCTGGTTGTGGCCCATTCCCAGCATGCACTTATAATAGCTCAGAAGAGTTGGATATGGTTTGGGAGGCTCTGACCTCTACTGAAATGTCTTTGAAAACAGAACTAGTCATTCAAGCTTTAGAATTTGAAGAGTGATTTATTTGTTCCTTGAATAGTTAAATTAGAGACTTCATCTGAATTCCAGCATGATAAATTACAAAATCAAACAAGATGTTTGAGGTTGAGAATACCAGAGGTCTTCCACTGGCTTTGGCTAAAGGATAGTGTTCAACTATGCCAAAAAAGTGAAATTTTAGAAAACAAACTCTCCTGGGTAATGGAGAAGAGATCCAAGCCATAGAGACTTACGAGGGCATATCAACATAAATAAAGTGGGTTTGGACATTAAATTTGAACCATCCCTTCTATAGCATAAGATACCTATATAACACAGGATACTACTAGGTCTGAACCATGGGCGCTGGAACGGGGCGGCCAGGTGGCATGGCCCCGTCACTTTTAAAAGTGGGATGGCTACAGCCTCCCACTTTTTACCTGCCTTAAGGGCAAGCGATGGGGGGTGGGACCTTGGGGGTAAGAGGCGGAGTGGGGGCCATGTTTTGGGCGCTGGTAACTCCTCTTTTAGGGAGCTTCTGGTGCTCCTGGTCTGAACAAGCATTTGGAATGTCTGATAAAGGATATTTTACAGCAGCCTACATTTCACACATATATGCAGTGATATATAAAGCTGGATTTATGAATCTAACATTATAGAAAATACATTTTCTTATTATTCTGTTTTTGTTTGCTACACACATCACTAATTAATATTTGTACAATGTTTTGTAGATATAAATCCCTAACTTGCACTCCTTGCATTGAACACAATGGAAATGTTGGGACTACAAGATATGCATGATCAAGCCCTCTATAAATGCTAAGTTATTATTATCATCATCATTATAATGCACACTGCCAGTTAAGTCATGAGATTATACATTCAAATATAAGATGTAAAATAAAAAATTCAGGGATTTGGCTGCTGCAACTTTCCTTAGAATAGTATTCCTCAGTCTTATCAGTCTCAGGCCTTTTTAGGTAGCTATTTTTGTTGCAATATTACTTTTGGGGGAAGGTTTAGCACCCAATCACCCATGTGTTTTCTTGTAGGAAGGTTCCAAACCTTCTCTCCCACCATATGAGTTTTGATAAACTGTACATAGCTCTGCCAGCAGCAGAAGGCGCCAGCAGCAGCAGTACAGTCTGGGTCTACTGGTCTGCACTTCAAAATCCCCAAAACGTGTAGTATTTGGTCTGACAAGGTGGGTGAAACAACAACTCTTATTGGACTAACTTCTGCTTGGTGAGAGACAAGCTCTCGAAAGCTTAATTTGTTTTTTACCCAACAGAAGTTGGTCCAATAAAAGATTACTTCACCCGCCTTGTTTCTCTAATATTCTGGGACTGACACAGCTACTGCCTAGAAATTTGGGCTGTCCTGCATACTCTCTTGGTTCCATTTTTGTGGAACCCCCAGAAAGGAACTGCTATAACTGTAAAGAGCTCAGATCCTGGCTCACAAAGCTAAAGTGGAGGAGCTAAGTGAACCTTGGAAAGGTCCAAAGATGAACAAAGATTAGCTGTTGATCTCCTTGTGCCCAATCCAATTCACAAATCCCCAACTGCAATGTGCCCAGTCATCAGGTTTAATGGAGCTAAGGCCCATCAAGAATTTGGAAATTAAGTGGGGGCCGGGGTAGGGTGGGGATGTTGTATTTTGTTTTGTAAACAAGGGAGCCCTGCTCCTTGATGTGACAGTCTATTCACTATTAGTCCCTCTCATTTTTTGGACAGCTTGAGCTAGTTTGAGTCGTTTTGTTGTGATAAATGGGATAGATTGTATATTAGTTCCCAAATGCACTACACTGTTCTTCTATTTCCCATCAGCCATCCTGCACCAATGCACATGTTGTTTTAGAGCTCCGCTGGGCTAATATTCAGTAGTCTGGAGATGGGCCCAATAGTGATAAGTGTGTGCCTGGGCAGGGTATGCACTCCATGTAGAAGCCGCTTCTGAAAACAATGGCTGGGGTGCCCAACAGGAGTATAGGCTCCCAGTGCACTGCAGAGCAAGGGAGAATAGGGAAACTAATTTGCAAGGTAGTTTGTTTAGTTGTCTCAGCTCCATCTTTTATTTTGGGTACCAGCTACCCTTGGCTACTTGTAACGTATGGTCCATGGGGGAAAGTTAAGGCTGATGTTGGAATATTAGCTGGTAATGTCTTGACTTTTTCTTTCAGTGTGTGTGTGTGCGTGTGTGTGTGCGCGTGTGTGTGTGCTGTTGAATGACGATGACATTTATTTTCATGAATAAGGAGAAGGATAACTTTAGAGCCATAAACTATTGAGCTTCTCAGCAGGAGAGAAAATAATGGCCTAACAGAGAACAGCCACTACCTAGAATATATACACAAAAGAGGCCTGATTCTTGTTTCAATTACACCAGTGTAAATCAAGAGGAAGTCCATTAAAGTCAATGGGGTTACACTGGTGTGAGATCAGAATCAGCCTCGGCGTACATAGGGATTGCTCCTATTTTATGGGTGGGTTGGGAATATGAGGCTCTTAATCATGTTAAAGTTTTAATGACTTGTGAGTTATGTCATCCAGGAAATCACATTCAGAGCACTTTGGATTTTAATTTGCTGTCATTTAGAGCCATTTCAGTCCTGAAGAATGTTACTTATGAGTTATCCCATCTCTCCCCATTAAAGATAAATGTCATAACAGAGAGCAGCCATCATACATTACACACACACACTGGGATTTTTTCCCTCCCACCATTGCCTTAGGAATGTAAAAATCAGTTTTATGCTTCCTATCACTACTGTCCTCTTATATCTCTATTTTCTCAGTGCAATTCTGCTGAATCTTTTACCACTGATTTTATTAAACTGAAGCGGTTATGCCCAATATTAAACTGTGAAACAAACATAATTTTAAATTAAAATCCCAAATGCGCGCGCACACACACACACACACACGCGATACATTTTGGCCCAAAGCTGGTCCTTGGATTTGCAAGGCCCTATCCAATGTCAGACATGCAGGGTTCTACCCATTCCCCTCCTCACTTATGACTAGGCCTTTCCTCCTCTATAACTTGGCTGAGTGCTGCTATACTACATAGGTTGCACAGACCTAAGGATACTACTGCCTGGCTTTATAACAAAATGTTCTTTAGAAACAAAATGCCAACCACTAGTTCACATATAAGGTGTAGTCCATGCTAAAAAGTTAGATCAACCTAGCTACATAGCTCAGGGGTATGAAAAATCCACACTCCTGAGTGACGCAGTTAAGCCAGCCTAACCCTGGGTGCAGACAGTGCTAGGTCGATGGAAGAATTCTTGCATCAACCTAGCTACCACTTCTCGGGAAGGTGGATTACCTACGCCAATGGGAGAACCCCATCTGTCAGCATAGGCAGTGTCTCCACTTAAGTGCTGCAGCAGTGCAGCTGCAGTGCTGTTGCTGTAAGTGTTTCACCTGTAGACAAGCCCTTCGTACTGGTATGTCAGGTTATTGTTACTGGCACTCTAAGCTCCCCCTCATGAGGTGAATTCTCTCACATCTCTGAAGCTGTGGAAGGCCCCCAATAACCCAGTAGAACTACATGAAGTTCTACTATGCAGTCAGAGGGAGCTTGAGGAATTCCACCCCACCCCATGCCCTAGAAGTCAGCTACACAGGGTCTCTTGCTGCATACCTGCTCTGAGAGGACTAGCGGGAGAGCAGGGGAAGGCCATAGAACGGGGATTAAGGAGCTACTGTTGATCTAGGGCTGCAAAAGTGGCTGTGGGGCAGTTTTACTGCTGCTCCATGACCAAATAGTGAGCATTCCTTCCCCCATCCCTGTAGAATCTCCCTCCACAAAGCTTTTCAGCGGGGGACAGATTTTTGCTCTCAATGAGTAGTCTGTGCTGCAGTTAGTGCACTCATCCTGCCTTCTGCTCTGTGTGTTGTGCAAGATGTAACCCACCACAGAGCCACAGCCACACCAATCCCCAGTCTCAGGATCACAGAGCTCACACAACTGAATGGGAAACAACAGACGCTTGTATAGCTGAAGTTTGTGTCTAGTAAACAGGCACAGCTGCCCAAAAAGGGTGAGAACCCATTTGCACAGAGCCAAAAAGGAGAGAAATCCAAACTTTGCCTTTTGATTTAACACCTCCCCGCACACTGTACATCTTTGCACTCACCCATTTCTTTGTCTTCCTGCACTCTTCGCCTTTCATTTTCACATGCCTCCAGCCACCTTTTCTTATCTTCCTGTTTTTTTGCACAAAACAAATAAACCTCTTCTGTTGCTCTATTCACAGTTTTGAAAGCATTCTTGATATTAATGTTAAAGTCCTTATCTTTGCCATCCTCAATGTCCACAAGTTCCATCTCATCCAGATCAATCCGACCTTTGTAATATAACATGTCCCGTCGCAGCAGGTCCTTTTTACAGAACACAAGCTGATGGTCAAAAAGGAAAAAAATCCTCTGCTGGCTTTTGCCTTGCTTTGAGATTTTGGTCAGTTCGCCCGAGTGGATCAGTTCTGAGCTTCTGGCTAAAACATCCTGCCCCTAAAATATATAGAAGTGTATGTGTAATAAATAAATACACAGTTTTAAGCGACCATATTACTAATTATTATTTTTGTAGCATTTGGTCACACGACAGACAGAACTGTACTTCAGTTTCAATGAACTTTTTTAAAATCTATAAATATAAAAGGTAGATCAAGCTGCATTCACAAAAAAATATGGGTTTGATTCTGCTCTCAGTTTCACCAGTGCAAACCAGGCGTAACTTCATTGAAGTCAATGGAGTTACCCGAGTGTAAAACTATCAAGAAATCAGAATCGGATATAATGGTCCCAACCTAAAAGAAAATACATTTTGTTCTCTTTCAACATGTCTTTGTAATCTCAAAGATACAAACACGTGTTATAACTGTTGCTCTTTCTGAGTAAGACATAAGATAATCAGTAATAGAGTCATTGCAAATGAAGCAACTCAACTTTTAACTGACCAAGGACCACATGAAATGTATGCACCATAAACTACTACCATAGAAAAAAAGATGCCCCCCAGAAGTCATTTAAGTACATTTTAATCTTAAATATTTCATGAAAATGGAAGAATGATACCTACCTCCCAATCAACAATAGATACTTGCCAGCGTGCAATCTTGTCTATGCTTTCCAGCCTTCGTTTGCGCTCATTGATGAGGCATGCTACATTCTTCATGGCCTCATACGCTGCCTGTATATTGTTATAATCACTGTAAAGTGGAAGCAGATTTCAAACACATTATATGCACTGGATATAACACATCAACACAGTTTACCTGACTGTCTGAAGCATGATTCTCTACAGTATTAATTTATCCCCCAACCAGAGTTCTTAAATCTGAAGGGCCTGATTCCCCACTACCTTGCATCTTGTATAGTCATTTACACAATTCTATGCTACCCTATCACCCACTTTGCACAGGTGTAAATTACTACACCCAGGGCAAGGAGGTGGAGAATCAAACCTAAGCTGTGATATCCAGGCTCCATTGAAATCAATGGCACCAGTCCCATCGACTTCAATGGGGACATGGTTTCACCCAAAGAGTTTATTTATAACAGGAATCCAGTTGTGTAAAACAATGTTCTCTTTAATAATTTATTTTTAGATTATATTTTCCTCTCCCTCCTCCCCAATAGCTGGGAGTGAGGCATGGGACTGGGGTGACTTGATAAGGGGAGCACAGCTTAGTGTCCCAGCTGCTTAGCTGCAATGTTATAGGCGTTGAGAGGAATGTCCTCTTCTGTCTTGTACAAGGATTCTTCTTAGAAAGGCCAATGAAAGGATCCAGAGGATGAGGAGTTGCTGAAATCTACCTAGCTGTTGTGAGTTAAGGGGGTCATGAGCACAAAGAAGGAGAAATGAAAGGAGGAGGGATTGATTCTTATTCTTCTTCCATATGGCTTGGGTAGATAGATATAAATTTGTAGTTGTTGCTAAGGTTGATAGCCAGTACATTGCTGCAGCAGTGAGCTGGTGGAATGTCCTTCAGGCCCCCGGCAAAAGAACAAAGGGGACATTCAGATATGATGTGCTCTATCATTTGTACCTGGCGACCACAGGTGTATGCCTCATTTTCCACTTAAAGAGGGTTTGTTCACATCTCCCATGAGATGTCATGATGTGATTCAATTTGCACCAGTCTTTCCGACATAAATCAAAACCTGGTGGTTCCTCAAGAGGATCAATGACGAGCTGTTTGTTTTGAGCGGTCAAAGTGCTTCATGTGACTCTCCATTGAGCCTCAGCATCAAAGTTGGTTGTAAGGATCTTCATACGGTTCCATAGAGGGTTGCAGGATTTTAATCTTGTCTTTGGCGGGTTCTGCAGGTCATGGTGCAGTGGGATCCTCGAATTTGCGTTGACATGAGTAAGAAAGCGAGATGTCTGAGCAGCTCTTCTAATCTGTGGAGGCTGATGTGCAGGGGAAGCAGTCAACTGGGGTAGATTTGAGCATCCCTGACACTATGCCCATAGCATTATTGAGTTGAGTGTCAAGGAGTTTAGTGTGATTACTATGAGACCACACTGGTGCACAATATTCAGCTGCAGAATATACCAAGGCAATTGCGTCTGACAAAGTGGGTATTCACCCACAAAAGCTTATGCTCCAATACGTCTGTCTATAAGGTGCCACAGGACTCTTTGTTGCTTTTTACAAGGCAATTGTTGCGATTCATAAGGTCCGTGGACTGGAGCCCCATGATGTTCTGGCCAATTTCTGATAAGCGCGACACGAGACCTGACCTTATCGTGGGTGTTCTCGAGGTGTTGTCGAAAGGTCAAACTCCAGTCCAGTGTAATGCCAAGATACTTTGGATTAGCTTCATGGCTGACGCTCTCACTGCAGAACTGCACATCAAGTTTGGTATTAGCCATTTTATTGTTCAGATGGAAAGCAGTTACCATGGGTTTTTTTTGGATTAGGCCTAAATTTCCAGCATTGGAAATAATCAGCCATTATGCTAAGATCTCAGGTTAGGGTGCAGCTGGTGGTATGTAGGCTTGTGTGCTGAACAGCTAGGGAAATATCATCCACAAACATGAATTTCCTTGACTCTGTTGCTGGTATATCCACGGTATATAAATTAAAAAGTACTGGGGCCAGGACAGAGCCCTGAGGGATGCCTGAGTTAAGAGTTCTTGGTCTACTGATCTGGCCATTAAGGTGTACCTTAAAGCAGCGATCCCCAGTCATCGCCGCCAAGAGGCAGATTGTTCACCAGCAGTGAATGATGCGGGAGACTTTGAGAAGGAGGCCCTGTCTCCAGACAGTGTCGTATGCCGAGGACAGATCAACAAGGGCGATTCCCGTCTTCAACTTACGTTGGAATCCTGCCTCAGTGTGGCTAGTAAGTGAAGCTACTTGGTCATAGAAGTTTGGGAGGAAGACGAGAACCTTCTTGTGGTGCTTCTGTTAAGTGCTGGTGTTTTCTGTGCTGTGTTTTGTGCAAATCCACCAACATACCAATATCAATTGGCCACTGGATCGTTTTACCGACCTCCCAGCGAACATAGAGGGATTGATTAATGGCTGCTGACAGGCTGGGCCATTGCATGTAAACAGGTGTTTGAGGGGCAAGACTGAGAGTCCTGGCTTCCCCTCCACTTCTGCAAATTTCCTCACATGCTTCTGCCTTACCACCTGCACACGTCTGGATGTGTGTGTTCACAATCCACCTCCCTCTCCCTATTCAAATACCCACTAGAAACTCACTTCTGCAACATCACACATAAGAAGCGAGAGTAACACTAACAAAATCCCACTAATGTAAGGGTGGACATGCCTTATTGAGTGACCGCACAATCTCATCACTGTTTCCCTTGCCCTTCCTATCTTAGTCCCCCTCTTTTTGGTCTGTCTATTACGGTCACTTGTTGTGTAACAGGTGCCCTTACTGGCAGACTATAAACTCTGTGTCTTTAACTGTTCTATGGTGCCTCTCACACATTTTTGGGCATTTGAAAAATAATAGTTTTGAAATAAAATACTGAAGTTTAAATAAAGAAGAAAGCAGCTCCCACCAATCCAAAACAATCTTCTTTTGCCTGGGTTGTGTGGGTGAGTCTGGTGGAGGAGAGGGAAACAGAAAATGTGGGGGAGGCTGATGATACCCTGCCCTAGCTCTACCCACAGTCCAGTATTACTGGATGATCCTGCTCAAAAGTTACCAGCAGTGAAACAGCTACACATACTGGCATTCAAATTGATATCATGGGGCTTCCAAGTTAACCATGGAGATGAATAATGGCAGTAACCATGGAACTGAATGGCAATAATCCATCTCTCTTATTGGGCTAAATCCCGCACTACGTCCACGAGCAAAAATTTCATTGTATTCAATGGGAATTTTTCCAAGGTAAATACTGTAAACGTTGGACTCAGAGAGATTGTTTCAGGCTGGGTCTCTGCAGACTGGTTCATAGATGGAACCTTTTCCCTGCAACCGTAAGGGCTAGAAACACAAACTTTTAAAGATAAAAGCTTAATTTATTCAGAAAGTAAATCAGCACAGGGAAGTACTTAGAATGGCTATTTATTAATGATTTATGACTTCAATGGAGCTATATTGATTTATACCAACACATTATCTGGCCTCTAGATTTTACAATAAACAAAGATATTGGAGGAGCGCAAGAGGATAAAATCACCCTTTAACTTCTGCCAGCCCAAGCTTACACACAGATCTTGCCCATAACAGTGCTTTTCATGAGTTCATAGTAAAGTCAGTTAGTTAGGTCTCAGTTCAGCTTTGTATGGTTTATAGAGTGTATGCCAGAAACTCGGATTCACTGCTTGCTTACTAAATGAATGGACTATAGTTTAAATTACAGTCAGGCAATCCACATACTAAGTGTGCACTAGCACACAGTACACATTAATTCATCACTTAAATTAGCAGGAAATCATACAGAACAAAATTAAATTCCTAGTTTTAAGTTTCACGATGACAATGCTCCAAGTAGATGTTGAACAGTGTGGGCAACAGGCAGCAGCCTTGCTGGACTCCAACAGTGGTGCAAAACCACTCTCCTATTGTGCCATTGAGGAGAACTGCATGGCTGGTCTTGGCATACGGTTGTTTAATGGTAAGAATAAGCTTACAACCAACACTGTACTTCTTCATGGGTGCCCAGAGAGCTTCATGCCATACTCTGTCAAACTCCGTCTTGAAGTCAACAAAGACATGGTAGATGTCCTGCTGGTGTTGTAAGTACTTCTCACATAGAACACGAAGGTTGAAAATCTGTTCTGTGGTACTTCTTCCAGCATGAAAGCCAGCCTGGTCTTCAACAATAATATTCTCCACTTGTGGCTTCAATCTGTTCAATATGACTTTCAACGTCACTTTGCTGGGATGGCTAATTAAGCTTATGGTCCGGTAATTTTGATACAATTGCAGGTTGCTTTTCTTTGGCAGAGTGATGATTAGTGACTGTGTCCATGTGGAGGGCCACTCACCGGTCTGCCGATCTTGTTGCAGATCTTGGTGAGTATATGTATTACTATTTCTCCTCCGAATGTCATCAATTAGGCTGGGATGTTGTCAATACCTGTAGCTTTTCCATTCTTGAGTGATTTCACAGCTGTCTCCTAGGACGTCCATTGCTGCCTCATTCATTACAGCGTTGAAATTGTTGGTCGTTGTTTCTACGTCTTCCTCTAGAGCCAACAGCGGGGCAAATTTTCCGCTGATCATTGCTTGGAATGACTCTGCAATGTTTCGGTCTCTGAGTCTTTCTAAGTCAAACTTGGTTCTGGTGAACTTTGGCCTGACGATTTTCCTTAGCCGCAGCCAAAAATTTAGCATCACAAGGTCACTCTGTTGGAGTCCGGCAAGGCTCCTTCTTTCACCCACACTGTTCAACATCTGCATATATCTCAAGAAACAAGCAGGTTTTGCAGACTTTTGTTCTCTTCTCTATTATAGAAAAGTCCTATAGAGTATAATGGGGATTAAACCAATATTAAATAGGGCTTTATAGAAATTACTACAATAATATAATTTAACAGAGAATGATAACCTTTCAACAATTTTTATACCAACCTACAGAATTTATTGAGACTTGTACAGAACTAAAACAGGTATTTAATCTCTATTAAGTTCTATAGTTTGGTTCAGTATTCTACAGAAAGGAGATCATTCTTTATTAAGCAGCACTGACTATGATTCTGTGAAGAAGGCAAAGTCTGTTTCTGGTTACCACACAGGCTCTCTTGGGTCTGATAAACTGGTATCCTCATGGTGAGTTGAGAAAATGACAGCCTCAGTTCCTTTGCACATTTAGTGAACAAAATTAAACAGTTCGGACCAAGGGAAGCCCATGGCCTCTTTCCACACAGAGCACAGATAAGCATTTTCTAAGTGAATTTTGTGAGGGCTCTGAAGAAATTTTGAAGGGGAAAATGGGGGTGGGGGGGGGGGGAGAGAGACCAGAACAACTGATAAAAACCCAAGACAGTTGAATCATGGGCATCATCTGGAAAAATATACACTGGAGAAGGGATTACTGGGTTAAGAAATAGTGCAGTAATAGCAAAGGAAATGGTAATTTCCTGAACTGGCTGCCAGTTAACCAAACACTGAATGAAGATCCATATATGAGTGATTGTCAGATCACCGGAAAATATTCAGTACCACCTTTAGAGGGAGTTTTGCCTGAGTAAGTTCCTATGTCCAGGGTTGTTTCCTACACTGAAGATAGTAACAATGAATGTAGATAGTCTGGGTATCTCTCATTAATATATTTTTCCACCACAAAATTATTGAGTCTTTCTATACTGGTTGTTTCCTCTTCCACCCCCCACCCCCTTGATTCACTTGTTTCTTGCAGTATCTAACTACATCATTTCATAAGGATTTTTCAGTTCTTTTTTCCCCTTGAACATATTTTTCAATGTTTAATGCTATTAAACACGTTCAGTTTATGTTGTTCTTCTAAGACCATCTTCACCTCTTCTATCTCTAAGGGTGTATCTACACAGCAAAGAAAAACCTGTGGCTGGCTGGGCTCTAGAACCATGAGGGGTGAGAGGGAAGTCAACACAGCAATGAAACAGCCCTGCAGTCCGAGCCTGGCAAGCCCGAGTCGGCTGGTACAGGCCAGCTGCAGGTTTTTCTTTGCTGTGTAGACATACCCTGAGACACTTCTCTTTTCTAATTCTTCCCTTTTCTTCCCTACATGTATCCCTTGTTCATTTTTCCCTTGGAATCATTGATATTTTTTCACTCTGGTTTACAAATCTCTTCTCCTTCCTTCCCTCCCTCTCTCTCTCTCCAGATCAGTCCCCTTATACTCAAGGGTGACTATTTAACATGTATATTGTTTCTGAAATATTTTTTCACATAGTCCCAGGATGATAAACATATTGGGTGAAATTCTGTCCCCACTGAAGTCAGTCACAGCTTTGCCATTGATCTTAAGGAGCCAGGTTGTCATCCACTGCCTGACCAAATCTACCTTAGACTGCTTTAGCAATAAGGTAACATTATGGTATTAGACAGATCATTTTAATTCTCTCACCCGTGCTCTTCGGTAGTATATTTGAGTAACTCTGCAAGCTGAAGAGGGTATTTACAGATCTTCTGAACAGGTGTAAGGAGAAAGCCATCAATAGCAATGTCAATCATCTGCTGAAGCAGGCGACAGGCCTCAAAGAAGTGACGGTATTTGCTCTGTTTCATTAGGTTGGAAAGCTCAAGGCAGGCACTGGGATGATTGTTACAATACTCTGAGTAGATGGCAAAACCTTCTTGCTATAAAGAAAAACCAAAGCTTTAGCTAAAACATTCATCTTAAAAAGACAAAACCAAAAATCGATATTGAAGTTATAAAACACTTCTGGTTACACTAATTAGACAGTTTGCTAAATTACACCCAAACTGAATAACAATCTATTTAGAAAACACAGAAGAATCTATTCTACAATTGGTAATAGGTGAAACTCCTGTTAATATGGATCGCAGGAGAGTGCATTCACTAGCAGTGCTTGCTGCTTTCTGAAATGGAAAAAAACCAAATATCTCTTTAAGCTAACCAGATTTGTGAATTTCAGTCATACGGGGTTCTCTGTGAACACTGAAACAGAGGCCTCCACAAAATCACAATTATCAAACTCACTTTAAGAAGGAGTTTTCTTTGAGGAGCCTTGGAAATTGGAAGCCTCCTATGGTTATTGGTAAAGCTGAGCGAATAATAGATTTTTTGGTTAAAAATAATAATAATGATAATCTAGTTCAATTTGAACCAAACCAATTTTTAAGAGATTTTTTCAAATTGAAAAAATGTCATTTTGAGTTGAGTGAGATGTCTGAATTGACTCTAAACAATTTTTTGTTTAGTTTTTCTATTTGATCATTTTGGGGTTTTCTGCCCCCCCCCACCACCTTTTTTTTTTTTTTTAACTTTCCAAACTTTAGAACAGCATTTTTTTTTTAAGCAAAATTAATTTTGAAAAAAAAAATGAGTATTTTTCAGCCTGAACTATTCAGTGAGTTCTACCCAAACACATGAATAGTTATTGAACCCTCCAAAATGCATTTTTCGGTGACATTTTTATTTGCCAAACTTTTTTTCTCAAGTCTACTTGGAGGTTATGTAGGTGATTAGCAATGATATGTGACTCTTTTCTCACCTTTATTAACCAGGGTGATTGACATTTTCTCTGGGAAGATACTGGATGTAGTTTTCATAGAACAAAATCAACTCAGATACCTGCAGTTATGTAAATGTTAACCTGTGATCTGTGTTCCCTGTAAGCTGCATGCTTGGGCTGCCAGGCAGGAGAGATTTAAGTGCCGTTCTGTGCACAGGAGGCAGCATGTGTTCAAGTGCCCCTCCCCCCATGTTGCCCATCCTGCAGCTGCTCCTGGGACCCTCCTGCTGGCTGTGCAGAGCAGAAGCTGGGGGAGGGAGGAGGGTGCTCTCAGGATATCACCCTCCCCCCACCCCTGTACCCCATCTCTGCAGAGCAGGGCAGAGGGGATAGCCTGGCTCAGGAGGACAAGGAGCTGCTGTGGTCTGAATGGTGAGTGGCTGTCGACTGAGTACCTTTCTTAAAGAGACAGTGCATTGTTTCTGACATTTCCCCAGAAGCCAGCTCACACAGTCTCTCTCTCTCTCACACACACACACACACACACACACACACACACACACACACACAGAGTCTCTGTCTCTCTCACACAAAGAGTCACTGTCACACACACACAGCGTCTCTCTCTCTCTCACACTCACACACAGAGTCTCTGTCTCTTTCCAACACACCTCCCAACACATACTCGTATTATTATTATTGTTACTTCTTGGTACTTCCTGCAATGCACATATATGCTCTGTAATTTTATTCTTTCAAAGTGTTATTTTAGTGTTTTGACTGGTCTATGCATTTCATAATTTTTATTTCTCTTACACTTAAATTTAATTCTTTGAGTAGTGAGTTCTAAAATGCCTAACCTGTCCTGGCTGGAGTAATTATCCCTCTGGTAACTTTTAAAATATATATATTATATCTAAGTTTTTTGTTTCTACTGGTGGTGCATATAGGCACATACCTCGGTGCACATAAGAAAATGTATTCCGCATATGGATGGAAAAAATTAGAGGGAACATTGCCTGTGATTGTTGGAAACAGTCCTGTTCATCTGGGACCTTGGGATCACCATAGCTATGAAAATGGAAAGACTGTTCACTTACAAGGAAAATAGGCCTACTCAAAGGGTGGAGGTGGAAAAAAAGGAGGGATTTTAAATGTTTTCATATAATCAGCACTAACTAAAGTGTCTTCCTCATGGTAGTTTAACATTTACTAATCATATTTTGTTTATTTCATAAGCAAAATGGAGTTAAATGACATACATGTTGAAGAAAGCAGGATCCTATTTCACTTAAATGAGGTTCCTCTTTGTTGTACTGTTTCTCAAGATCTTTCAGAAACTTTCTTTGGAATTTGTAAATATCTTCAATGTTTCCAAAAATGGTGTTTAACTGAGCCATGGTGAACATTCCTGTATGTTTACGACACTGCCGAATATATCCCTGGAAATAAAACAAGAAAACCTCTTTGTATCAAATCTGAAAGAGATCAAGAGCTTGAAAATGGAGTTTGTACTGAACAAGCCAACTCAATTTGATATTCTGCTTTCCAAGGTTAGATTTTTGTGGTCTCTGATTTCAAGGCCATATTCACTACAAAACTGGATGTACAAATTCAGATGTGTGTCTGAACAGTTATGTTACTGATTCTCCCAATCCTAATTCTGTTTCACCCTAGAGTTGATTAGTCAGGAAGCCAGATGTCAGCACTTGTATAATATCTAATACAGAGCTGCATTTTATTGTTATAACTACCAATCCAGGAGGAGGAGAGCCTGCACTACCAGTTTTGCCACAGTGTTTAGTAGTAACTGCCCCAACTGTGCTATGACAGAGTTTGATCTTGCCTGTACAGATGAGACCAAATTCTGTAAAAACACAGTCTAAAGATAATCTTTGCTAGGGCTAGTGTAACCCACACACCTCTGGGGGGTGGTGTTCTGTCCCATCTAGTGGCACCGAAACCATTTAGAGCAGTGGTGGGCAATGTGCGGCCCACACATGGCCTGTTGGGGTAATTCGCTGGCAGGCCGCCAGACAGTTTGCTTACGTTTGCACTGCTGCCTGCAGCTCCCAGTGGCCATGATTCACCGTTCCCGGCCAATGGGAGCGGCGAGAAGCAGTGTGGGCTGCAGGGACGTGCCGGCCACTGCTTCCTGCAGTTCCCATTGGCCAGGAATGGCGTCCTGTCTCACTCTCCTCTCTCCCCGCCCCCATCCCTCAGATGGGATGTTCGTTCCAGATTGGCAAAATTATAAGGCTTCCCAACATTTCAACACTTCCCATTCTAAATTTTCGGTTGCTTAACTATAGGCTAGTTCTGCCTACAACAAAGCATATTCAGAACCTCTGATTAAAGGGATTATAAGTGTAGCAACCTCCATCATAACTAGTCACCAAAGATTGAACCCGAGCCATCCAGACTTAAAAGTATGAGCTTCTACTACTTGAGTTCAAGCTATAACTCCCTTAGCTGGTAGCTATACAGTTATCCTCTAAAAATCCACCAGAGGAGGGCCCAAAACACATGTTGGACAGTGAATTACAAAAGTGCCAAATATTATTATTAGACCTGCAATACTTTTCACAATGAACATCAGCGGGGGATAAACTGGGAGTTTAAGAATATTTGGAAAACAATTTTAGAATAACATTCAGTGCTGATTTTATTTCAGCCCACATCTTAATAGTTTTGAATACAAGATCACAATTTTCAGCTCAGTTGGTCTGAACATGCAGAGCTTTAAAATTGCTATACTCTAAACTGTATATTAACTACAATTTTATAAACCTGCATGTCAGAGAACTGTGTGCCACTACTACTAGACAGTGGCACAAGGCAATTCAGTGTGAATCACAGAAATGTAGGACTGGAAGGGACATCAACAGGTCATCTAGTCAAACCCCTGCACTGAGGCAGGACTGAGTAATAACAACTAGACCATCCTTGACAGGCGTTTGTCTAACCTCTTAAAAAACTCCAATGACTGCTATTCCATAACCTCTCTAGGTAATTTGTCCAGTGCTTAACTACCTTTACAGTTAGGAAGTTTTTCCTAATGTCTAACCTAACTCTCCCTTGCTACAATTTAAGCCCATTGCTTCTTTTTCATGCATGTCCTGAGTGGGACGGGGGTGGGTCCAGGCAGTGGGATTGGGGGGAGGGAGGTCGAGGGAGTCAGTGGGTGTGTGGGGATGGACCGGGGGAAGCAGGGTGGAGGAACTGAGGGGGACAGGACTGGGACTGGGGGGGGCTGAGGGGGATGGGACAGGACTGGGATGGGGGGAGTAGGGTAGGGGCTGAGGGGAGCATGAATGGGACAGGGTAGAGAGAGCTGTGTAGAGTGGGGTGGGGCGGGGGAGACAATGGGGCTGGGCTGGGGAGGGTTGGGGGGTTGGGGAGAGGGACAGGGTCTGGAGGGGATGAGACAGAGGGGAGCAGTACTGGAATGGTGGGAAGTTGAGGGGGTGGGACAGCAGGGGGAGCGATGGGGGTGGGATGACGGGAGAGGCTGAAGAAGAGATTTGGGGTAGGGCAAGGCTGAGGGCAGTGGGTTGGGGGGAGCAGGAGGACTGTGGGGGAGGCTGTTGGAACGGGGGCAGGGACTGAGGGCAGTGGGTTCGGGGTGGGAGGTACAGGGGGGCCTGTGGGGGAGGCTGAGGGAACAGGGTCAGGGTGGGGCCTGAGGGCAGTGGGTCTGAGGGGAGCCCCCCCAGAGGGACCTGCCAGGGGGCCAGGTGAGCCCAGCAGTGCTTACCTGGAGCGGCTCCCAGGAAGCATCCAGCAGGCAGGTCCCTCCCAGTCCCTCTGGCCCCTTCCTAGGGTTGGGTCAGGTGGAGGGGAGGGGGGTAGGGGCGGGGGGAGCTCTCTGCCCGGCGACCGCTGTCTGCTGCCGGAGTCTACAGGCCCCACCCCGCTGCAGCACGCAGGGGAGTGAGACCTCCTCACTGCCTCTCTGTGTGCCGGGGCAGGGGGAGGGCTGCGCTCTGCAGGCTCCTGCCAGCCAGGTGGGGGGCCCCGTGGGCTGGGGCCGCCGCGCCGGGAGCTCTCAGCTGCGCGCTGCCCCAGGGCCCAGGGAGGAAAGGTGAGTGGCGCCGGCGGCGCCGGCTTGCCGCGGTTCCCCCAGCGCGGCTGCCCTGTCCTCGCTTTTGGGTCTTTAAATAGCCGTCTGGGGGGAAATCCCGGACATTTTTAGCTTTTTACAAATTCCCCCCGGACGGCTATTTAAAGACCCAAAAGCCGGACATGTCCGGGGAAACCCGGACATATGGTAACCCTAAAGTTGGTGTTTTTTGCCTTTTGCTTTGGTGCACAGGCTCCCACAAGGGAAGTTATTTCTTGTGCAGATCTTGTAACTCTGGGTCAGCCTCTGGAGTAAATTTTTCTCTGACTCAGACCTACATATAAGCACACCACCAGCCTCACTGTCCTGCTTGCACAGCCATGAGTGATTCACTCTTTGCTGAACTTGGGCACTTTTATTCCCCTTGGAAAACATGTGCATTAGCACTGGTCCACTAAATGCACAGCCACTCTGTCTTTTAAAAAAACCCACAGATGAACTGGATTAGTGATGTTTAAGAATTAATATCAGTGGGCCAAATCCTGAGAGCTCCAGCTCCTCCTGACATCAATGTATGTACTGATGTATCTCAGCAACAGAGTTAAGCCAATGAAAGTTAACGTTAGTTTCTCACACATACTACATCACTAGAAAAAACATCTACACCCTCCAAAGAAAATAACTAAATAGAAATTGGTAGCTGGAGCAACAGAATGGTACCTGAAAGAATAAATGGCAAAAGAGGCAAGCAACTTGGGGCTAGTCTGAAGACAGAAGGCAATTCAGTTGGACAAGTCAGGGAGATAAATTCTTACGTTCATAAAGCAACACAAGATTTGTAATATTGGTTCAAAACTGTTGGTCTAGCCAGTCTGGTATTCTTCTAGCAATTGCCAATACCTGATGCTTCAATGGAAGATGAAATTCACCCACTATGAAGCAAGCCAAATGTGTCAGAGATACACATGTTGGTAAAAATCCCTCCCTGACCTTTTATAGCTTATGTCCTGAAGTATAAGATTGAATTACACTTACACTTTTTATCTATGCCAGGGTATCTTAATGATGATCTTGCTCAAGGAATTGAAATTTAGCAAAACATTTTAAAGATTACCTGAAAAAAATGGGTTTGTGCCTTTGTTTTGTTTCTTTAGGCCTGATAAAAAATAATCTGCTTGTTTGCCACACTAGAAGGGCAGCTCTTATTATTTTTATTTTTCCTGGAAGATTCTATATATGACTGGAGAACTAATAGGACTATGAAATAACAAGCAGAAAGGAAGTGAAACCTAACAAACTGAAAGGAGAAGTGATTTTTTTTGGTCAGGCTGTTTACCATCCTTCATTGGTTCTTTTTTACTATTCTAACTCAAACACCCAAACCACACGTGGGAGAAAAAACGTTCATAGTTAAAGGCTCAAACGTCAATTAAGGTGTGAGAATGCTCCTATTACAGGTCTCTGGTCCTCCAAGGAAACTCCAGCAAAAAACAAACAGAGAAGGTAAGTCTTGATACTACTGATCTTTCTGCAGTTTAAACAAGCAGAATATTTTTAAAAAATAGAATTACATAATAAATGACCAGAAAAAAAAGCACAAATCCAATTTTTCATTTTTTCCTCTGCAGGCCACCTTCAAAATGTTCAGACACTAAATTGTAATTAGATACACCTCTAGCCCGATAGAACGCTGTCCTCGGGAGCCAAAAAAGCTTACCGCGTTATAGGTGAAACCGCGTTATATTGAACTTGCTTTGATCCGCCGGAGTGCGCAGCCCCGCCCCCCCCGGAGCACCGCTTTACAGCGTTATAGCCGAATTCTTGTTATATCGGGTCGCGTTATATCGGGGTAGAGGTGTACTACAGTATTACATGGGTTTACAGTTATCTACAGATGCAAAGTGGTAGGAAATACTAAGTAAGCTGGACTCTCTCCCCTAACATGGAAACTGCAGTCAGGAAAGCAATGCATTGTTAACAGGTACAAAATGAAGTGTTCTTTAAAAAAAGTACATTATGGTGTTCAATAAAGAAGAGAGTTAGAACTGCATAAGAGAGCATTCTCATTGACTGCCTTTGAATTGCAAGGATGAATCTTTTGACAACAGAAAATGCTCAAGTTTTCACTCATAAGGAACATTTCTTCAAACTAGGTCTGTGGAATGCTCTAAGTCTATGGCTTGACACTGTACCTCACAGATGTCCTTGAGATGTTTGATATAGACTCTCTCCGTGTTCATTATTTCTTGTATCACATTGGTTCTCATCTGATCCTTGTTTTCAGCAATTTTTTGGCGATGTTTGCTAGCATCTGCATGTTGCTCTTCATCCTGGATGCTACCACAATTTTCTCCAAGTTCTTCCTGATTAACTCGTAGCTGCATTCATAACAGAAAAGACAGCTAGAGTAGTGCAGCAAGGTGTTACAAAAACAAATGTTAACAATTATTACAAACTTTATTTAATTACAATAAAGGCAGCTCATAACTGATTATTAATTATTATTAATATTATATAACTGGTCTCCAGTCCTAATAAGGTCTATCATGTAACTCTTATGCAAGTATTTCCACTGGCTACTAATGTAAAGGTTTCAGTAATGGGCCCACTCTTTCTTTCTGGGTACCCATACGGCCTTCATCACCATAGTATCCGAAGGTCATCATATAAATGTTGCCTGTATTTTTTGTTAACAGAAGTGCAGATTTATTAGAGACCATGAGCAGTGGGCGCTCATTGCCAATACTCAAATAAGTAAATTGTGGCTTTATTTTTCATGTTAAATTCGGATGACACTGATCTGAAGTAATCAGTTACAGTCATTTCTTCTTTCCCCAATTGTCCTCCTTTCCCAAAGAATGGGGCACTCACACTGATATCTAAAGTTAAAAATACATTTTTCTGAAGTGAGAGTATCAGAAGAGAATGCTGAGTAGAACAGATGTTCCCACCTCCATCCCCAAAACTGCTTTGCTCTTTCTGTACATATTGACCACTCTTGAGTGGTATTAGTGCTGGTTCCTTTACCTCCATGGGACATAGTCCAAATAATAATGATAATGATAAGCTGGGTCTCTGTCCTCATTTCTATTTGGATTTTGAAAGGGTTACCCAGGAGTAAGTGACAGTAATATGTGGCCAAGTAGATTGCAAATATTTGGGCCTGATTCTCTTTTGCCCTGTCCCTTGTGTAGTCTTTTATGCCTGTGAAAAGTGGTCATAAGGAGTTACAATTTTGATTTGCAAATGCAAGGCAGTGGAGAATCAGGCACTTAATTTCAATTTAATATTGGTTTGGGGCATTCAGCATGAACCAAGGATATAAAGATATGAATGCTTAATCGAGAATAGCAACATTTAACAAAATAAAACAAACCATTGTTATATTGACATTTTACCAGGAAACTGATGTAAAGCTGCAATAATGCAGTGGTGAATCAGGCCCTCGTTGTAGAAAAGAAACAGACGTAGGTTACTAACCCTGACAAAGCTAGCTGGAAACCAGGCTTCCTTGTCTTCATTTCTTCCCCACCACCAGTCTTTGTTGGAAGCTTCAAGGACTCTGATGACGTCCCCAGCTTTAAAGCCTAGCTCTTGATCATCCATAGTCACGTGGTCCCACAGTGCCTCTGCATAGACCATGCTGCCATCACTTATTAGCTGAAATGGGGGCGGGGGGAGAGTTGGTGAAGGACAAAAGCTCAGCAAAGACCAATCTGTAGACTGCTAGAAAACTAAACAAGCATAATTAAACAAAAAGGAGATAAATAAATACAACCTGTTTCAGGATGAGCTGAGTATTTTGAGAAATCTGTCCTTGTATAATTATCTGTCTGAGAAATTAGATAATGCAGCAAAAAGGTCTGGATCCCAGACTTGACCAAGCTTGAGTACAGTTATATGAGGCATCATCACTTTAACCAAAAGGTTAGACATACTGGAAAGTATCCTCCTCTTACCTCATTAATTGCTAGCTGTTCCCCTCCAGGCTGCAGGTATCTAGGGCTGGGCTGGCAGAGCTCCTCATAACTGTAATCCTCCTCACTACCATTGTCATCAACTAAGGCAGAAGATTCAGTTTCACCATCTGTAACAACTAAAACAATAGTGACAGGCTTGAAACAGAGTAATTTGGTTTAATCAAAGACAAGCAAACATACAAAAACAATTTAATAAAAAATGTGAACATAAAACTGCCAATAGGCTAAGGCAAAACCCCTTAGAAAGTGCCTTTGCTCTTGAAAATATAACACCACCACATTTACTTAGGGAGTAATTTTCCTCTCATTTACACACCCATACAAATTGGGAATAACCCCACTGAAGCAAACAGAGCTACACAGAAGTAGACCTGGATGTAAACCATTAAAATTTTTGGGCCTGTGTCACAGGTAGGTAGATACAGTAGTTTCCTGCAGGGTCCCTGGTTCAGAGGAAAAAACTTAGGTCCAGATTTTAAAAGGTATTTAGGTGTTGTTGAGCTCAGTATTCCACTGCCTAACTTATTTAGGAGCCTAAGGCCTGGTCCACACTACCCCCCCACTTCGGACTAAGGTACGCAAATTCAGCTACGTTAATAACGTAGCTGAATTCGAAGTACCTTAGTCCGAACTTACCGTGGGTCCAGACGCGGCAGGAAGGCTCCCCCGTCGATGCCGCGTACTCCTCTCGCTGAGCTGGAGTACCGGCGTCGACGGCGAGCACTCCCGGGATCGATCCGGGATCGATTTATCGCGTCTAGACAAGACGCGATAAATCGATCCCAGAACATCGATTGCCTGCCGTCGGACCCGGAGGTAAGTGTAGACATACCCTAAGTTAATTTTCAAACAGGGTTTAGGCACTTAGGAGCCTCAATCCCATCGACTGTCAAAAACAATTTAGGCTCAAAAGTGCCTAAGTCTCTTTTGAGAATGACACTTAGGGTACGTCTTCACTACCTGCCGTATCGGCGGGTAGCAATCGATTTATCCGGGATCGATATATCGCGTCTTGTTAAGACGCGATATATCGATCCCCGAACGCGCTCACCGTTGACTCCGGAACTCCACCAGAGCGAGCGGCGGTAGCGCAGTCGACGGGGGAGCCGCAGCCATCGATCCCGCGCCATGTGGACCCCAGGTAATTCGATCCAAGATACTTTGACTTCAGCTACACTATTCGCGTAGCTGAAGTTGCGTATCTTAGATCGATCCCCCCCCCTCGCTCTCCCTTCCCCTGAAGCCAGAAGGGACTCAGCTCGAGCTGGTGGCCTGGTGAGCTCAGGAAGCTTGGCTGACCAACAGTCGAGGGGTTGGGCCAGTGCTAGTGTTACCAACTATCTAATTGCAGAAAATCGAACACCCTTGCCCTGACCCCTGCCCCGCCCTGAGGCCACACCTCTGCCCCACCCCTTCTCTGAGGCCCCGCCCCTGCTCACTCCATCTTCCCTCCCTCCGTTGCTCACTCTCCCCCACCCTTCCTCATTCGCTCATTTTCACCGGGCTGGGGCAGGGAGTGGGGTGCAGGGGGGGATGTGAGGGCTCTGTACTCTGAGGTGGGGCCGGGGATGAGGGGTTTGGGGTACAGGAGGGGGCTCAGGGCTGGGGCAGGGTGTTGGGGTGCGGGAGGGGATTGGGGCACATGCTCTGGGTAGCACTTACCTCAGCCAGATTCTGGAAGCAGCCAGCATGTCCCTCCGGCTCCTATGTGAAGGGGCGGCCATGGGGCTCTGAACACTGCCCATGCCTGCAGGCGCTGCCCCCTGCAGCTCCCATTGGCTGCAGTTCCCAGCCAATGGGAGCTGTGGAGCCGGCACTCGGGGTAGGAGCAGCACGCAGAGCCCTGTGGCTGCCCCTTCACCTAGGAGCCGGAGGGACATGCTGGCCGCTTCCAGGAGCCACGCAGAGCTGGGTACGGAGCCTGCCAGCCCCGCTGCACTGGCAGCACTGCCAACCATACTTTTAACGGCCTGGTCAGTGGTGCTGACCGGAGCCACAAGGGTCCCTTTTTGACTGGGTGTTCTGGTCGAAAACTGGACACCTGGCAACACTAGCCGGTGCTTGGACTGGCCTGGGGGTCGGGCCAGTACTTGGGCTGGCCGGTGGCCCGGGGGTCAGGCTGGTGTTGGGCTGGCCGGTGGCCCTGGCAGCTGAGGCAGGAAGGCCAGTGCTCGGGCCGACCGGCGTGGCTAGGGTGGGCTGCCCAGCAGCCACAAGATGCTAGGGCGGGTGGGCCGGGGCTTCTCTGGCCATGGTGCGGGGAGGGGTAGGCTCAAGGCTCCAGGGGGCAGGGATGGAAGGGGCAGGGCCGGAGTAGCCTCCCCGAAGGGGGGATTCATGTGCTGCCCTTGCAGATGGCCTGCAGTGTAATCCTGCATGGAGTAGGCTATGAAGGAGAAAAAAGCAGAGTGTAGAACTAGGTGGGAAATGGTTTTCCTATCCCATTAAAATTTTCAAGATTCAAAAAAAAATTCTCCATTCTGCGGTGGGATGAAATCAAGCGATTTTGAATGTTTTGTTTTTTTGTTTTTTTGGTGAAGAAAGGCAGAAGAGATGGGGAGATTAAGGCACTCACATGGAACCTGGGAGAGTCAGGTTTGGAATCTGCTCTGCCAGATTTGGAAGAGGGACTTGAACCTGACTCTCCTACATCCCAGGTGAGTGACCTAACCAGCAGGCTATTGGCTATTCTAGGTTGGATTTCTCCCTCTCTAACTCTTGTTTTGACCAGAAATTCCATCTTGAAGCTGAAAAACCTCCCCAGCAAAACTTTTGTCAAAAATTATACATTTCCACAAAAAGGTTGTGTTTTTGTTTTTTTTTGACAAATCAGCATTTTTCGACAAAAAGCCAGCCAGCCAAAAAAGTCCCAACCACCTCTACCAGAGAGGCTTGCCTTGCTTTTTGGATCCCACGCAAACAGTCTGTACAGTGTAACCCATAGGTTTTCATGACAGTATAGATAGCCCTGTCTATATTAGTGCTTACACTTGCACCCTTGCAAGCATTTCCACTTATATGGATACTAATTTTTCAAGAGTAATCAAGGCCATAGGATGCAGAGATCAATTAAAACATTTACCTTGTGGCTTTCTTTCTTTAGAAGGGCACAATTTTGCCCTTAGTCTTGACGTAAAACAACACAGTTATTCTACCCACCACAAAACATTTTAAAATACACATTCATATTAATGTCTCATAGAGCTAATAAAGGAGGCTGCAAAATTCCTATTAAAAAGTTGAGATCTCTCAGCCATAGGGTTACAAATCTGAAAACTAATAGAACTATATACTTTAAAAGTGGTATAATTTAAAACTCACTGACATTGCTTTCCCGAAAATCTGTAAATAAATAACATATACAAATCAGCTTCTAGCCTCAAATCTGAAGTGTTAAATTTCATCCCGGATCTCATTTTTACAGCCGCATTGTAACGTCAGTACTGACAACTGGTTTGTTGCAGCAAAGATAGTAGACATAAATACTCTAAAACATTTAACTAAAGATGAAAAAGGAGTGTAATTTTTCGGCTGGTAACTGCTCATTATTCCTTACCAGTCAAGAGGCTTCCATTGCCTTGGTAGCTAGATTTAAAAAACAAACAAACAAAAAAACAACAACCACCAATCACTTACTCTCTGTATCTATTCCTCTAATGTTTACCGGCAGGAGTAAATATTTTACAGATAGGGATGGGTATCCCTGTAGCTCTAATGGATTGCAAAAACTTAAGACAATGTGAGCCTGATTCTGATCTCTATCCAGCTTTCCATTGGTGTAACTGTTGATTGCAGTGGAGTTTACATTATTTACAACAACATGAATATGATCAGAATGAAGCCCAGTGACACTAACACTTGATAATTTTAAATCAGAAACATTACAGAGAATAAGGAAGAGTGAACCTTCTACTCACACATACCCATCTGAAGGCTCTCCAGACTCCAAAATCGTGCCATTTCCCCCCTGGCTACCATGCTGCTGTCAAAAACAACGTACAGAGTAGGGGCTTGGCCTTTAATAGGTGAAGCTTAGTCCTAAAAGATTCACAGAGAACCAGAAAGGCTTAGAGCCTTTGAGCTACTGAAAATTCAGAAACAGCTTATTCATTGCTTTGAGCTTCTGTATGTGCATATCAGGCCAGAGCCTACTTCGAAACTGACAGCTCACTCACTGTTCCTATAGCTGTGGGTTTAGTGGATCAGTGACATCATGGGGTACCCTTAGGGAGGAAGTTACAGAAAAGAAAAAACCTGTATATACAGTGTTCATTGATAATGTACTTACAGTCTACTGCACTGTAGCTAATGACACTGCAATGAAGAATGTTTTTCAGTCCTGTCAGTGCCAGAGAGTGTATTTGCTACTTTTCATTAAAGCAGCTAAATGTGAACTAGAGTTTCAATCTAAATTCAAAGGATACATCTCTTTTACTCCAAGTCACAGGAAAAGGCTATTGGTAGTTGCAATTTCTTCTAGCCATATGCAAAAATATGTCTTCCAATACTGCTTTGCATAACATTGTGCATTTATGATATTATTCCAAAATGTAATGTGTAGGTATAACTATACACCAAAAGGTATTTTTCACAGTTCTTATATGCCGCTGTTACTTCACAAATAAACTGTGGTATATTTGTTTGGTTACAAGTGACTATCACTACATTATAACCCAAATTCTAAACAGCAGCCAATTGCTCTGAGGGGTGATGGGGCAGAGGAGGTGTTCCCTCACTCAGGCCACAGCCTCAGTGTAACTCTACCACAGGGGGTAGAGAAGGAAGGACACGAATAGCCACTTAGCCCTGTCTCCACTCATTCCATAGCCCACTTCAGCAATGACCCCACCAACCCTCTCATGTCAGAGCACAGGGGATGCTATGGAGATTAGCATCTATCATCCCAGCATTGTGCTCCCCTTTGCATAGGGGAATTGCATCGGTTCTAGAGGCAAGGGCAGGATTTGCCCCTACAGTCAAATCATGTACTCTTCAACAACCTGCATTTGTACTAATTTTTTGAAAACTGGTATAAAAAGAAAATCCTGAAATAATTTTAAAAGAAGTCATGGCGCTATATGTCTGTGGATGGGACTCAGAATTACAGATTCTCTAT